TGAATTTTGTATCTAATTGAAGAGAACTAGATGCATCCCTCCTTTTGGACTATGTCATATCTTAATGAGCTGGAGGGCAGAACCATGCATGATGCTACCTTTTTGAGGGCTAGTTATGCTGCCTTTAGAGCATTTTTCAGCTCATGATGTTCTTGATAATGAAGAATAAAGAAAATGTTTGCTGCCACTGACCTAGTACCTCTGTGCAGCTTCATTGCTTTTATTTCTTCCCCCTTGCTTCTTCCACCTCCAGCCTTTCTGTAATGAGCCTCATAACCTCAGCTTTCCCTCTGGGTTGAACCTGGCTCTCACCTTGCCACGCCTTGCTAGTCTGACTAGTTTAAATCTGTCCTTCTACTCTTACCACTGCTTTCTAAATGCAGCAGCAGACTGAAAATAGCAAAGACCGTTAGTTTCACTTTGTTGCTGCTCCGCTGATGGATCTGTTTGAGCAAAGGCTGTCAGTGGAAAACAGCACCATTAGTAGAGTATTTTGCCATCGTACTGTCCTACAAGGAGAGCTAAGCTCCCTCTTGAATGAATTTAAACCCCTGAGTCTTCATTGAAATACCTTTTTTCTAGTCAATGACATCCCAATAATTTGCCAAACAGTTGGTTTAATGTAGGCAGAAACTGTTGCTGCAGCTTAAAATTAGTTTTATATTTGATTTGGCATAAAATGTTGGAGAAAAAATAATTCACATTTTCTTGCCGGGAGGCTTTCTCTTTGCCATCTGAAAATGGCATTACAAATTGTAGCAGGAAATCTGTAGCATCCAGACTCCCAGTGGTAGCTGACATACAATGGCAGCTTTCCAACATGCTTGCTTATCCATTTTACAGGTGTAGCAATGATGCAAATAGTCAGCTGCCCGTATGTAAAGACAGTCGCTACCACCAAGACCGGTAATTTTCAAAACCATCTTAGTTCGTTTTGTCTGTAAGTTGGCATGGTAGTGAATGTTGTTGTTTATCTTTTATTTATTTATTTGCTTCCCCAATTGAATGACTATATATACTTTATTTTCAAAACCAGTATAAATGCAAATATCATATTTGGCCAGGAAATAACTTTCCCAAATAACTGTTAGTGTTAGCTTATTTTATACAAAAAATCCAGTACAGTTTTCTGTAATCATTGAGTTCTGTAGTAACTGTGAATCTCTTCATGCCCATACTTCTTAGTTATTAGTTTCTTGTGTGTGGATTTTTGTTTTTCTTACTTCCACTTGTATAGTGACATGATTGTGCTCGCATGTTGGTGTGCGTGTATGTGCGTCTTAGTATAAATTTTCATTTTTCAAATTGTGGATTTAAGAAAAGTCACTTACTGAGAATTCTTTATGGCAATGTGTAATGTGTGCTTTTCCATTATTGAAAGAGATAGACTTTTTCATATAAACGTTAAAGGCTCAAAATTATGATCTTGTAGTTCTAGTAGTATCCAATTTGTCTCTCTAGAACTTGTCAGTCAAAATACATTCAGTATATCCATCTTGTTGGGATGAGTAGAAAAGTAATAGGATAATGTAGCATTCTGGCTTTCTTATCTTTGGATATTTCCTTGCCATTTTGCTTTAGTATGTGAATAAAATGGGTCTTTTTTGCAATCGGTCTGCAGTTCTAAATAAAACAATCACAATCTGAAATTGTTTCATTTTTACCAGTTTTTATCCAAGGCTCTGAATTAATGTTAACCTTTCAAAGTCAGGATTTAAAGTTTATTGGAGTTCTGCTCCGTATTATATGGCTCAAATTCAAGCTACTGTTGTCTTTTTTTCAAGACCAATAGGAATATGTCTTAAAATGACAGCATAATTAAACAGTGGAACAGATTAAAAAAAATTTGCTATAGAGATCTAATAAAGACTTTTTTAATAAATAGAGCACTTAATTTTGAAGTATTAAAGCAAATGTCTAAAAACTAACAAGCTTTGGGCTGTGCAGAATTACACATTAATTAAAATAAAAAGCTGTCTAATTTGCCTGGTCATATGGGCATTACTGATTGTAAAACACAGGAAGGAAATTCAGTAACAATGCATTGCTTTCCAATTTAATTTTGAAAACAATCTTTATTTATATAGGTTGATTATTTGTAAATTAAGTCAGTAAAGTGCTAGGTTTTCGTTCTGAGGTACTTCATTGTCACTTACTGTT